GACTATAACCTCATTCTTAACGCTATTAAATTTTTCGAATAAACAGAAAGTTAGATTTATACAAGTAAAAAGAAAGCAATTATAGAACCAATTTTTTATGGAAATAAATTATTTCACACATGGTCAATTTTTTCTCGACTGCATCAAAGAAAGACATTATGTTTTAAACTAGAAAATGTGTTAACTTTTTCAATTCCTACTATTAGTTCACTCTCTTTCTACTTGTTCAAATTTTCAATTGTTAATAAAATACTTTTTATTCATCCACTGAAATTCAAATATATATTTTTAAACTTGTAGTGGATGGCACTTGATGTTAATACAGATTTTTTTTTCACATATTAATTCAGTCATTAAATTTTATTTTTTAATTTTAAATTTATTCTGCTTTATATTTCTGACGAAGTTAGATTTATCTGCAACAGATGATGCCAGTAAGTTTTTATAACAAAGTAAGAATTGACTTTAAAAAAAATTGTTTTTCCTTGTTTTTTGTATTTGCATAAACAATATTGAGGGATGAAGGTGAAATAGAACACAGAATAAAATAATTTGCAAAAAAGAAATCTAAAAAAAAGTGAATATAATGCAATGTGTATACAAAAAAAACTCTTGAATTCCACCGTTTATACAACAATTAAGTATGAAATCTAACTTCTATTGATTTTTGAGTAGAAAAAAAATAATGGGAGAAGCATATTAGTCACAATAGTACTTCCATAGTAACGAACACTCTTCAAAGGCCAAACATGATTATTCCAAAAAATTACATAAATAATGGATTCAAACTTAACTCTTTTTTTTTTCTTTATTGGTTCGGAAAATAGATCCCAATAAATAAGTTCACCGGAAGTAGATATATACTATCGTATTTCACTTATTTCATGGTTAAGAATACGGAGTTCAATTACGTTTTACCTCTTTTATATTGTTTTTATATAAGCATTGATGGAAATTCGATTCGAACTTCCTTCATTATTGAAAATCATATACAAAGACAGACGAAAGGACAGAATATAAAATCTGAATATAAAATTAGTATCCTGTTTTGTTGATATTTTAATTTTTAGATATTCATTGAAATTTATATATTTATTTCGCTTTAGTTCTTTCAAATGTTTCACATACGATTATTTTTTTAAACTCTCCATTTTTATTAATATTATCAATTTTGAAAATAGTACAGTTAAAAAACATAGGATTTATCAGCATCTTCACTTGAATTTCAAAGAAATTTTTAAATAGTGAAATGTGTTTTACAAATTTTTAACAAAATTTGTAACATTTTTACAATCCTTTTTTCTCAATATTGTGCCTAAAACTCTATTATTAGACCACTAACTAATTAGAGAATTCTTAAAGAAGATATAGTAAGAAGTTTTTTTTGTGTGTGTTTAGATTGGCTACGAAATATTTTCTGTAATAATAGCAACTGTAAAAATTATATATAAAATAACAGTGAAGAAGTACTAGAACCTACAGTGCTAAAGCAGGAAGAAATTTGAATTCCCCAGACATAACAAATGTAGATACAAAAAAGTCTTTGGACTAAACTGGAGACTTATTATGAATATATATATATATATATATAAATTAAATTTGACTAAAGTCTATTAATTTTACTGATAATTAAGCAAGGCGTTTCTTAAGATATATAAAACCATCTGAGAAAAGTAGTATATTATATATCATATTATAATCATTATACAGCGCATGCGTTAGCATTTCGCGAAAGCATTCCCTGTGAAGCATAGTGCTGGTTTTAATTGTGTCATCCCCAATTTATTTGAAGATTGCATGGGGTAAAGAGTACGAAGTGAGAAAAATTTTATTTTATAAGGATGCTGGTAAATGTAAAGGAGAGATATCCAAGTTAATGAAGCACTCTGAAATTTCCATTCCCAAGATTTTAATTAGAAAAGATGATTAAAACAAAATAAAACGATCTGAAAGAAAAACAATTTTGACAGCACTAAAAATCGACATTCAGCTATCAATTAAAAAGGTCTTTCAACTCATGAAAATTCGAAACTTTTCAGTAGAAAAACTTCACATGTCACAGTTTGGAAGAGTCTTAAATGAAATACTAATGCAAAATTTATATGAAAATGAAGAAATCACTAAGATCGAGAGCAAAGAAATTTAACCTTGAGAGTCCCGATAGTTACAGACACTACTGGAATGACTTGAGAAAGGGACCGTATGAGTGCCTTAATCTTTACCCATAGTGGATTGCATGGTTCACAAAGAATTTTCGGGTAGTATGGGAACTCCCCAATATCAAGCTATGCTGTATGATCATCTGATACTATTTGGGGTTTTACTAGATTGTGCTTAGATATTCAGCTGGGAAAGGCTTCTTGTTAAACTTCTAAATCTACCCAGGAATGAATTTTAATAAAAGTTACAGTTTTGCCATGACGAAATAGAACTCCACTCTTGAGTCTCTTGAAAAAACTTCGGAGTATAATATATTGCAAAGTTTATACTAATAATAAAACGGTTTTCATCTGCTGATTGTGGTATGTAGTCATTGGGAAAGAATGGCTCAAAATTTCTTAAACTGAACTTTCTACCTGGTCATTTCAGGATAAGTGCAAAACCAATACTATGTTAATTTTCTCATCCTTTTCTTAAATCAAGTGATTTTATAACGTTTTAATCGTGTATTTTTTCACGTTTATTTCTAATGCTTTTATTAACTTAATCATTTATTGCATTATTCCAAATTACTGAAACTGAATTGTAAAAAAATGTTGTATAATAATATTTCTCTCATGTACTCGAATTATAAGAACTTTTATTTATATTTTATAATTTCCAAAATTCAGTTGGCCTGTAATATCTCTATATATCTATCGATCAGTAAATATGAGTGCTTATTTCTAAATATTAACATTTAGTAATTAACTGAACTCAATGGCGCAACAGCCCATGAGGGTCAAGGCCTACTGTGCCTATCTCAGTTCATGTGACTTTAGGCGATGGGGTGCAAGCGCAGAAGTTTCGGTCAAGTGGTCAGTCTAACGCGAAATCTCCAGTGTTCAGTTCCCAAGCAAGCTTGGTGCTCAGTTATCTATCCGATAAAGGGACGAAAGGCTGAGTTGACCTTGCTCAGTCCGGAATTTGAACCCCGGACCTGGAGCGTGGTAGCGCGATTCATTACCATTCAGCCACTGGACTTTACATTTAGCAATTACAAATTTATTATTTCTAATTGCAAATCTATATCGTGTGAATTTGATGAAATTTCATTTTACAATGCAGAGGGAAAAAATTCAGTATTGCAACCACTTATTACTTTCATGAGCATGTTTCGAATTGCATATTGTTTAAACAGTAAAATAAATTTGAATTTTGTAATAGATTCTTTTTTAACTAATCTCATGTAGATCGAATATATAATGTTTAATATTAGGATTCGGTATACTTATTAGCTATAATTGCATAAAAATATAACGAAAGCAAACACAAAAAAAATTAAAATAACGTTTGTAAAATAAATAAAAAATGTTGCAATGCATTATAGTTAAATTAATGTTTCTTTTACATAGAAATGGAAATATTTTTAAAAATAAAAATATTTGTGGATGATTTTTGTATATAAAATAGTAAATTATTCAATTTAGATGAAAATAATTTATACATTTTTTGAAAGATTTATGGTACTTGTAAAATGGGTAATATTAAAGTTAGAATAATTAAATGATGATTTCATATATTTCACTGATTTAATAAATTTATCTACTTCAAAAATCGACAATGAACTTTAAAAGTTCCTTACAAAATTATGTCACAACCAATTTATTTTTTTAGAAATTATATATATATAATTAGTAATAAAACCTTGAAAAAATATATTTGAAAATATTCGACCGATATTTAAATTTTATTGATAAATTTTAAAAAATTAAGTTATTGAACAAATTTTAAAAAAATAGACAATTTAAAAATGTATTAATTTACAACTGTATAAGGAAATAAATTATTTCCTTGTATTAAAAAAACTTAAAGATGGTGACAAAATGTTGGTAGCACTTATGAGCAGTCTCTACATAAAAAAAAAATTAGCCATTCATCATTTTTAAATAGGATTTTTTGATAAATTTCAAAATTCAACGAGTCAAATATTAAAAATAACACATAATTTACTATTTTATATTATCTAGTTGATTTTTCGACCGAATTTGTCTTACTTTCAATAAAAAAAAATGTTTTCTCGAACCAAAAAAATAAAATATAAAAAAGAATGCGTGAATGGAAATGCATCCATTAACCATAATAATATTTTTTTTTAAAAAAGAAAAGAAACTGAACTTAAAGAAAATAAAATACAATGTCTTATTATCCAAGCTAAGTTTTCGCATTGATATTTGAGAAAAAATATTCATTCGTTTACTTCAAAGGAATATTACATTAACCCATATTTACTCTTCATTAAGAGAAAAATACATGTTAGCAAAGATTCCGAAAATACATTAGCCAAACAGAACGCCATTTCTCCAGCACAGTTTGAAAACATTCTGTGATCCAATATATCGTCAATCTTTCTATTTCATTCTATTGACTTTAATACGGGGTGGCCAACCTTTTTGGAAAAAGTGGCACTACCTGATAAAAAAAATTATGCGTGCCACTTCCAACTTTTCCAACAAGCAAAAAAAAGTGTGTGTGTGTGTTCTTATGTACGCACGTAAGAAGTTATACTTCTTTGGCGTAACAAGATTAAAATCTTTCTAAAAATCTTTAGCAGGGCAAGCTGGGACAATGACGAAAGGCGGTCACAGAGTTGAACGATACTAACCTTCAGTCAATCGGACCAGCCAAACCTGAAATAATAACGATTTAAATAAATTTAAACACCTCCGCACAGGGACAGTAGGACCAATAATATGGGGAGGGAGTTGAAGGCGGGAATGATCTGTTCCGTTCTGCATATTTCTAGACAAAGCATTTTCGTATCCGTTCTTACGGAACGCAAAGCAAAGGTTAGCTGACGCGGGGATATAGCTCAGTGGTAGAGCATTCGACTGCAGATCGAGTGTGTGGTCCCCGGTACAAACCCGGGAGTCTTATTCTTCAAGGAAGTGAAGAGAAAATTTTTTTTGAGGATTTTGAAGACGGGAATGATTTGCCCCATTCTGTATATTTCTAGACAAAGCATTTTCGTATCCGTGACGGTGTGAGCGCGCATTGTAAAAATTTACCCTCATCCTCTATTTCTCTAACGCCCCAAAAGAAGTATAACTTCAAAAAGTGAAAAAAATTTTATTTGTAAACTTATTATGAGACTTTTACGCGCAAATAGCATTTTTTTAATGCAAGCTTAAGTAGTAAAAATTTAAAAATAATATAATAAATAAGGCAAAGTACAAACTTAGTTTTTATTGTTTTTTTCAAGTTCAGATCAGTTAAGTTAGGCATAAAGTAAAAACGAGTAACTTGAAACATTTAATTCTAAAAAATAATTTTAAACAGTCAGTACTTAATGCAGCTTTTCAATTTGTATTTTTTATCAAGTCATTTATATTAAGATTAGCTCTTAAACATACAAGCAAAATTAAGTTGTTTTAGGTGAATATCAACAGGTTTTGAGCGATATTTTGATTTTATGTCCATAACAGAAAACATTTATTCACAAACATATGTTGATCCAAGTTTTGAGGGGTTTTTTTTTGTCTGAGACAACCGCAGTTTTGTAGAATTGTAAAAAAAAATGCCATTTATTATTATCTTTTCAAACATTTTAATTTTTCAGTACGTCTTAGCATGCCCCTGTTACGACTCCACCGTACCCCACTGTGGCACGCGTGATGCGGGTTGGCCACCCCCTGCTTTAATACAAACAATATAATTTATCCTATACACGACATTCATGGCTATCAACAAGAGCAATAATAAATCATTACTTATGTTCGTCGCAAATGAAGCTATCTACAGTCAACTCACCTCCACTGGCTGCCCAGAGCAGGGGTGGTCGACCGTCACGGTCTGTGACAGCCACGTCCACGCCTCTAGAGAGTAACTTTTTGAGCACCAGAAAACCCACCCTCACGTCGTTGCCCATCTCACTGTTGGGCCCACACATTTGAGCGGCGTAGTGCACGGGATAAGCCCCGTGGATGTCTGGAGTAGAAGGGTCAGCCCCGGCGTTGATGAGGAGATCTAGACACTCCAAATCACCACTAACTGTGAAAAGAAATGCCATTAATAACAATCAATGTCGTAACTAATTTTTGATTATGAGTTGATGGAGAAACACGAGCTATTTAGTTGTAATTGATTTTGATTTGAGGTCGTCATCATTTAATATTAAATGACAGAACTCAGAACTCCTAAATGGGCTCAATTCATGTGACATCATAGTCACATGATAAAAGCAGTCGTGTGTTTTCAGCTAATTTGTCCGCGCGCTTCGTTGTTGCCAACTTTTGATCTTTTCAGAAACTATCTCTTAAAAAATACAAATATATCAACAGCAACAATGCACATGGGTAGACAAAATGCATTTTATTTAAAAGTGCATGCATAAAATAAGATTTTTTTTTTAAATTTTAAAATTTTTCGAAGAAATTTATTTTTTATGACATTCGAACATTTTTATCCAATTATGAAATTTGAAATTTCACCAAGTTTTACAGATAGAGCAAAAAGTATCGTTAGTTTGGTGTCTGTTTTGAATTCAATTGAAAACACGTGTTTGTCTTTATCATGTGACCGTCATGAATTGATCCCATTGGGGAGTCATAGTGGCAAAGTTAATATACGAACGTATATTTGTTAAGAATACAAAAATCCTTTTGAAATACGTAAGTTGCATTTAATGGTGTTTAGAATCTAGAAATATCTTATAATGGTGATGAGAGAGTCAGCAAATCCAGAAATTGATTTTTAAAAGATGTAAATGAATATTATCATTTTAATGCAAAATTTTACTTTTTGGAAATATTGTGCATTCATCGTTTTTTTTTTATTTTTTTATTGAGTAATACTAGAACAGTCTTCCGAAAAAGAGGAAAACAATTAAAAAAAAAAAAAAAAAAAAACACGTTTCCTTTTAAAGCATACTGTAATGTACGTTTTTTTTTATATGAAATTTTCTTTTTCTGAGAGTTTTATTTTATGGATACTAAGTAATCCAAATAAATAAACTGATATCGTTTCAAGTTAAAATATCATAACAGAATATGTTTATGTTATAATGCAGACGAATAAGTTTTTCAAATGATGTTTAATGAAATCGAAACTTAACTTCCTTTTATAAGAGTTCTATAAGAAAACATCTAAGACAAAATAATTTTTTCCTTATTCCATTAATTATCGTAATGTTTATAATACGCTTTGTTAGTCCAAGAGTTGTTCTAGTGCAGAGATACTCAACCTGAGGTCCACCGAGCCTTTTCAAGTGGCACGGTCATGGCCCATTGCTCTGAGAAATTTACTTATTTAAGAACATTGTATTAAAAATTTATTGAAAAATTCTTTGTCAGGAAATCAAATGTATCAATTTTGCTCTTTGTTGTCGGTGTCGAACGGGTAAGAATTGATATTCTTTTTCTGTCTGGAACTGTTACGGTTAGTGATAACAGACAACAGTGGAGTAGCGACAATTTTATGGGTGGAACTAATTTTTTACAATCTTTTATACCCTACAAGCAAAAAATATTCGAATGATTTCGAGGTTGACTGTTTTGCAGTGAAAAACAAACATGGATCAGTACTTGTTTGATTTGTCCCGAAAGTATTGTATACCGTTAAATAGAAATCATTCAATGGCACTTTCCCACCAAGATCTCTTTCAAGAGATGTAAAAAGGCTTTATTGAATATTTGTTGCAACAGCAATACAGTGTTTCGTCATTGGTTATGTCACAGCAGTAACAATGGCATCCTATGAAGTTTGTTGTATTATTGTTAATCATATGAAACCATTTACTGATGCAAAAATTGTGAAGGAGCGTTTCTTAAATTCTTTTAATTTAGTGTTAGTGACTAAAAAAAAATATATAAAAAATAATAATTAAAAAAAGCAACACATGAGGCATAATATTTTGATCAATTTTCCACATTTTAAATTTCTAGTGTTATCTTGGTCTTAAAGCATCCCTCCCCCCTCCCCCGTTTAACCTCATGTTGCAGCCCGTGTGAAATAGCTAACATATGTATGCGGCCCAGCAGAAAAAAAGGTTGATTACCTCTTTTCTAGTGCCACTTGAAACTAGAACCTATAGACCTTGCAATTTTGATCCAATGTCAAATGATGAAGACCACACCTGAAGTGGTATGTAATTACCTTAACTTTCGCTCCACATGAGTGGTATCTAATTATCGTAACTTCCATACTATGTGAGGACTTTAAGCTCCAATTACTTTCATAATGGGTATCAATACCTAATATTCCATTCAACGGGACTCACGACTTAAAGCCCACGAATCATACTGAAAAAATATTGCCATACTGAAAAAATATTGTCTCGTAACCACTAAGTTCCTGTGGCTCTGTGTTTAGTAGTCTGAAATTATTCAATTATTGATTAGAAAATTTGCATTGGTATTATAGTAAGTTCTAATTAGTTAACGTTACAGACAAATTTGTTTTCCATATTTATTGAAATAATTTATCAACTTCGTTGCAGTTCAAATGACTTCAGTTTTCAGAAATTTTATGAATATTTTTTACTGTATTTTAACTAATCTCAATATTTTAACAAGCCAGTTATTATGTAAGGTCATAGTTAACGCATTCATGGCGAATTGCAATATGAAAGAATTTTTTTAGAAGAGAAAATTTTCTCCCCTCAATGTAACGAGAAAAAAAATACACGGTTTTCCTACTTTAGTTTTACATGCGCTTTAATTCAACGGTATCCAGCGCCACGGTAGCCTAGTGGTCAAGGTATCAGATCGAAGTGGGCTTGTCACGAGTTCGAGCCCAGTACAACTAAAGACCCGCCGTCTAGGAGAGAGGTGCACGTTAAATCTGTCGAAAGCTCAAACGTCCTCCCGTTGGTGTGGTAGTTAGAAGAGGGAGGTGCCAGCTTAGGTGTCATCCTCGTCGCTTGACCATGGTTCAGAATTACGAGGTCCACCGACAAATGCCTCGTATATCTGAACAGTGCGATGTTAATATTCACTCACTCAACGTTATACAAAATGTTGGCTTCCTGCTATTGAACCATAAAATGCTTTAATACATAGACGGAATTTTTTTATTTTCTATTAGTTACTTCAGTAAATGGGTGAGTGTTTATTAACAACACACTATCAAAGAACCCGAGGGCTATTGTCGATGAACCTCTTAATTTTGAACAGTCAAGTGACAAAGATAACATCTGACAACATCCCACTTTTCTATCTTCGCCACCACGCCAACTTGAAGACTTTGATCCTCAACTGATTTAACGTACGTCAGTTCCTCTAACGTTGGGTCTTTAGTGACCCTAGGGTTCGAACTCATGACATGCAGTTGGCCCTGACCAGTGGTGTAATGTACATCCCCGAAACCCCCATGCCACGGTGGAGTCCAAGGGCAGTAGGGGACTCAAAGCCTGACTGACATTAAACAAGCAATCCCTTATGATAGGCTTGGGGCTCCAAACTTCATTTTGCAGGGGCCGCTAATATTCTCCATTACGCCACTGGTCATGAACACTATGCTACCGCGGTCACTGTTCACTTCAAGGGGGCAGGGGGAGTAGCTTATCAATTTTAAATGCATATTAAGATAAAAATGTAATAATTACGATAAAATACACAATAATAATTTTATATAAAGTTATATTCACTAAATTATGTAAGGCATATTAACAGAAATACATTATTAAAAATTCTTTCGGAAAAAAAATCTTACAAAACGTTTAATGGGCTCAGTTCACGACGATCATATGATAAAGACAAACACGTGTTCTCCATTGAATCCAAAGCAGACATTCAACTAATTATACTTGTTGTTCTATTTGTAAAAGTTGGGCAAAATTTCAAATTTTACAATTGAGTAAAAATGTTCAAATGTTATAAAAAATAAATTTCTTCAAAAGATTTTAAAATAATAATAAAAAAATCTTATTTTATGCATGTACTTTT